TTACTCGAGTAAATTTTGGAACGCAGCCCTCAAAGTATACGCCATAGCAAAAAATGTTTCAAACAAAAATTGTATGATCTGAAGGGAACAAATAATTTTTGAAAAAAATCAATCTTGAAGGTCACATGGAGATCACTGCTATTTTTTTAAGTGGAATTTATATGATTTTTTAAATAAATGGTTCCAGGCTCATCCACTCTTGTTCGCTACTATTTGTTCACTATTATTTATCCTTCTTCAGATCATATAATTTTTCTTAAAATATTTTTTGCTATGTATATTCCAGGATAATAAATTATAATGCTTTGATTGCTCCTGTATATGTACACAGTAATTATTGTATATATATTATAGCAAATATAAATTTTTTATTTTTTAATGATAGGAGACAAACAATTTCTGCTCGTAAGCAATGGCCAAATCTAATTTTTCAGAGACGTAATATTGATGTATATGTCGAACCAAAATTTGAGGTAAATAGGAAAAGATTAATTATTAAAAAATAAATTTAAAATTTTAGCATTTATGAAATTTCTTATAGGATACATATTGCAAAACTCAGAAAGATGAATTTGAAGTACCATACAAATATATAAATCTTATATGTGAATTAGGAAAGGGACAGTTTGGTAAAGTATATCTAGGTAGCTTAAACAACAATGAGAATACATTAATAGCTGTTAAAATGTCACAATGTTCTGATGCATGCAACGAACCTGAAGCTAGGCATCAATTAATGGAAGAAATCAAAATAATGAAAGCAGCTGGTTCTCATACACATTTAGTCAGCCTTATAGGTTGCTGCACTTTACCAAATAATCCTATATGCATAATTTTAGAATATATGGAAGGTGGGGATTTGCTTGCCTATCTACATTGTAGAAGAAAAATCAAATCAGATGATATATCTTTGTGCAGTTTTGAAAAGGCTGTATCTAGGTACGCAAATATTGTTGAAAAAAATGACAATTTATATGATGTAATTGAGAAGCAACAATTTATGAAGTTTGCGCTTGATATTGCAAGAGGAATGGAATATTTGGAAGCTAAAGGAATTATACACAGAGATTTGGCAGCAAGAAACATCCTCCTCACTTCATTGTCAAATCCAACATTAAAGGTAGTAGATTTCTATTTGTGATCTCTGATCACAATTATTAAAAAATAGTATATGGAATATACTGATTTATTATGAATTTAGATTTCTGATTTTGGTTTGTCACGAAATG